AAAAAAAAATAATAAAAATTAAAATAAATAAAACAACAACAGCACAATAAAAAACTAACAAAAACCTACCACTCAACAAAACAAAAACACTCAACATGTCTGGACGTGAATTTGTTTTTTTTCCTTTGAGTCATCTCTGAAAGTAGACGCTTGTGATAACGATGCGATAAATTTGTGCTTGAGTATCCACACTCAAAAGAGTAATAAAATTAACAGATAAGATTTTTTAAAAAGTTTTTAAAAAATGATTCGCACTGGATCTAGATCTATGTGTGCGAGACAGAATGAAGAGGCAGGAATTGCAGTTGTGATTATATTCTGTGAATTAAATCTCAGCTAGTGCGGGTGGTTGAAGGGTGCCGCTGGACGATTGTTTTTTGTTTGTTTGTTTATTTGTTTGTTTGTTTGTTTGTTTGTGTTTTCGTGGTTGTGTCTGGCTGTTTTTGGTTTTTTTTTCTATTTTTGGTTATATATTATTTGTTTTTCTTTCCCTAGCATTAAAGGACATTAACTCATACATGTTCTGATTTGTGTCAATGGGAACGACAGAACTCCTACATTATTATATATTATACTATTATGTATTTTTTAAAATTCAAGTGTACAGACACGATGAGTGTATGAAGTCCACGAGCCGAGGTTTGTCGAGGGCTCTCACTGGACAGGTAAGGGTTTGGCGAGGAGGGTGCGAATTGTTCTGAGGTTTGGCTAGGTCTCCCACAACGATCACGGTGACGGTACTTACGTACTACATGATAGCTCGTACTTAAACATACTATAACGCTCGTCAGACATAACTGCATCAGTGGGACTTTTTTTCCCATTAGCTCGGCTCGTGGACTTCATACACTGATCGTGTCTGTCGTACACTTAAACATACTATAAAGCTCGTCAGACATAAATGCATCTGTGGGGTTTATTCTGCGGAGTAACTTGGGATTCTATGTACTACGTTGAGAATTTAGAGTTACGGTACAGTCGACCTTGTCTAAGACAGCTACTGATTTTTTTAGAAGAAAAACCGGGTTGTCTTAGACAGAGGGATGTATTATACAGTGTCATTGTAAAAAAAAAAAAAGAAGGCCCAAGCGGAGAAATAAGAAGAGGTCGTTCGTACAGATAACTTGTCCTATACAGGATTGTTTGATACCTGCGCGAACGAAATAAATGTACTGCTTAAATAGACAAATCTGGATTGTTGATAAAGCAGGTTGATTCAACTGTTTATTAACAACCCAGATTTGTCTAGTCAAGCAGTATTTCTTTTTCAACTGTATAGGTTGAGGTCAAAGAGCACATTTTCCCGGCTCGGGTGGGTTGGAAAGGGAGGTGGGAGGGGGGGGGGGTCTTTTTCTGCATGTCCGTCTGTGGCTAAAAATAAACATATTCCGTACAGTTCTGGGACATATAATTTCATTGGAGTCTGTTTTACTTTCTTTGGTTGTAACAAGCAACACTCCCTCTTGAGCACATTATGATCATTGGAATTTTCGCAAACCAAAGAACTACTACGCACGAGCCGGGAGCCATAATATTGTAATAATAATATAGAGACAGAAGAAATAACCCCCCCAAAAATCATCTTCCTTGTATATGTTTAAACTACGAAGTATGACGTCATGGATTTTTGTGAGTTTTGGTGCGTTGCAAGCTATCTCTTATTTTTAGTAGGTGGTTGGCGGGTGCTCTGGTGTGGTTTGCTCATTCTTTCCTATCAAACATCTATCGTCCTTATCTCTCCTCCTCCTTTTTTTGTGTTTGTTACTCCCTTGTAACACCTCTAATCTTCCGCACTTATATGACCTTATTGTGTTTCAAGTGCCGTAAAACTCTTACTAAAATTAAAACATATTTTTTTTACTCAATATTAATATACATGTAGAGTATCATTTAACAAAGACGAAGAGAAAACGTTGCTTATTTATACTCGGACCAGAACCATTAAAATTGACCCATTTTTAATTAAGACAAATTATTGATACAAGACTACTGGTAAAGGTTTTATATTCGTACAAAAACTGAAAAGTTATCTGCCCCAAAAAGAAACTTGATGATTTTTTTAAAAGCAAGGCTAACTATTACCCACAAGTGCACAAGTTATTTGGGGTAGTTTGCTCGTTCTTTGCAGTTGTTGGTTTTTTTGGGGGGTGGGGGGTTGTTTTGTTGTTTGGTTTTTCTTGTTTTGGTTTGTTTTTGTTTTGTTTTGTTTCTGTTTCATATATATCATTGAGTGTCTCTGTCCGTCTGTCTGCTGGGATGTTGTCTTTCGCTCCGCACGGGTTGGTCTTAGGAAACTGAAGCAGCCCGCTTCTTTAATCACATAATGGGAGCGTTAATCGTCTGGAGCCATCCATCCATCCATCCATCCATCCATCCATCCATCCATCCATCCATCCATCCATCCATCCATCCATTCATCCATTCATCCATGAATCCATCCATCTATCCATGAATCCATCCATCCTTCCATCCATCCATCCATCCATCCATCCATCCATCCATCCATGAATCCATGAATCCATCCATCTATCCATGAATCCATCCATCCTTCCATCCATCCATCCATCCATCCATCCATCCATCCATCCATGAATCCATGAATCCATCCATCTATCCATGAATCCATCCATCCTTCCATCCATCCATCCATCCATCCATCCATCCATCCACCCATCCATCCATCCATCCATCCATCCATCCATCCATCCATCCATCCATCCATCCA